GCCTTTCTTCGCCTTCAGGATAGCCCTTCCGGGATGAACGGCCATCCCAGCTCCAGCGCCGCAGGCGCGCCGCCCTTGGGAAGGCGAAAGTACTCGCGCCTCGAGCTGTCGAGGTACCTCCCATTCAGAAATGCCGAGTCGATGTCGCCCTGGTCGAGGCCCAAACCTGGTTGGCTAGCAGCTTCTTGGGTGATGACCGCCGTGGCCGTGTCCGTGAGCGTCGACGCGTTCGTCTGCAACTCGCCCGCGAGCAGCTGCTTGTCCTTGTAGCCCGGGGCGATGTTCCATGACTTCGCCTTCAGCGGGTGCTGCTCGTACGAAGGCTGCCCCTCGTCGGCTCATTCCCGTCGGTGCGGACGCGTCTCATGAGTGAAACATCCGCCTCATCAACGCCCGCAAACTCTTCTTGCTCGGCCGCTCCACTGCGTCGCACCGAATCAACTTTCGTCACTCCTCCAGGTCGCTCGCGTCGAAGGCTTCCTTCCATGCCGGCGGGGTGCTGCGTGGCCCCCGAGCCTCGGGAGCGACCTGCCTCTTCGCGGCGTCGGTCCTCCTCGCCAACAAAATGCGCCTCTCAGGCGGTTCTTCACCTTCAGGAGGAGAGCGTCGTCGACCGTCTCGTGGTCTGCGATTCTCGGGAGTCGACTCTGCTTGAGAGCCTCGGGACGCACTCCGAGTCGTTCGCGATCTGCCTCAAACCGTTGGGGAGAGATCGCTTGTAGAGAGATCTCTCGAGGTCAGGTTGTGGTGCAGGTTCTGGCTGTCCAACTTGTCTGGGTTGTTGTTGTGCGAAGTGCCTGGCGCAGCAGTCGCGCCCAGGTCCGTGGCGCGCCCCTGCCCAGCTGTATCAGGTACAGGTGGGTCGTCAGCTGTATTGCCTGGCATGCCATGTCCATCTCCAGGTAGATCTTCGGCTTCCACACCTTGCATGCCGTGTCCATCTCTGGGTAATGGTGGTACTTCAGGTAGCGCTCCAGGTTCAGGTGCATCATGCTCCTCAGGCTGCTTTTCACACTTGAGTATCTGAAAACCTCCTCGGGGGAGGCGGTGGAGCCTCCTCGGCCCGTGGCGTCTTGGCCACCGGCATGTCGCCCGCGGCGTCCTCGCCGTTCGAGTCGCTTTCGCCCTTCTTACGACGCCTGGTAGGCTGTCCGCCGCTCCCGTCAGGCACAGGCCCGCGCTCGTCCACGAAGCCTTTCTGGAGGGTAGGTCCTCCGCGCCATTGCGACAGCTGCCCAGCGAGGTCCTCGTTCTCCGCCATCTCTGCCTCGCCGCGAGAGGCGTGCCGCACCTGCTCGGGCGTCGCGAGCGCTGGCGCCCCACGATTGCTGAGGTGCAGCCTCGCGTGGCCCTCAGCCGCCAGCGCGATGGCCGGGCCACGCCGCCCGTGCTCGCCCTGGAGCCGCTTCGACTTCACGTGCTTCACCTCGCGCCAGTAGAACGCCAGCCGGCCCGGCGCGAACGGCCCGCGCGGCGGGCGATCTCGACCAACTGCGGCCCTTCTCACGGCGTCGTCGCTGTCCAGCTCGAAGAGCGCCCAGCTCGCCGCAGCGCGAATCTGCTCGGCCCCCCTGCGCTCCGCGCTGCCGGCCGCCTCTTGTCGCCCTCCATCGCCTCGATCAGCGAGGCTGGGATGTTGGGCGACCGCCCCAGCGCGGTTCCGCCGGATGCGGTTGTTGGGCGTGCTCGCTATCACCGAAGTCCGCGCAGACGGGTCGTCGCTCTTGGTACGCTGCACGTCGCGGTTCAAGCGCTGGAAGTTGTCCTTGAAGAAGTCGATGGCCCGTTCCACTCTGCTTTTGAGCTGAGGCGCCTCGGCCGGGCCGGCCTCGTCAGGGTGTTGCACTTTTCGCCGATCTCCCTTGGGAGGGCCAGCCCACGAGAGCCATCTTTGCGAGAAACAGCGAAGGCTCTCCTCGCCCGTGATGGACCGCATTGCCGTTGTAGGAATGATGACCCTGAAGCTCGACGCGTCGTCCAGGATCACCATGACCATTAACCATGTCTTGTCTGAGAGGACCACCTCGGCTTCGTCGAGAAACACGTGCTCGTTGAACTCCGTCGAGAGCTTCAGGTCGGCCGTCCTCGCGGTGTTGGGCCTGCCGAGCTCCTTGCGCACAACGCAGTCGAGCACCTTCTGCGACACCCCGTAGGACTTCAGGCGTCGCTTCAGCGCGTGGCCCGACGGGCGGCTCAAGTTCAGGTGGAGCTTCCTGAGCGCGCCCCGCTGAGCCGTGGTGATGTCCGAAGGCTTGTCACCAAAGCCCTCGCCCTCGCGATGTAGGTCGGTCTCGATGAACTGCATCTGCCTCGCGATCGTCTGGCTTGAACGCTTCCGGCTGGCCACCGAATATAGGCGCCGTCGCGGGGAAGGACGTCTGCGCCTTCGGCTCCTTCACATAGATCGCGACTACCGTGTCGGTAGGGTACCTCGTGGCCAGCTCGATCGTCGCGAAGCCTGGGTCGTCCGCGTGGGCGTCGGTGAAGTCGGCCAACGCCCCCTTGTCGGTGTGCACCGCGTAGATGCGCCGCACAGCTCCACGAAGCAGCGGGATAGCCTCGCTCCGCCTCAGCACGCGTACGTCAATCAGGTTCTTCCTCGAACTGAAACTCCTTGGCCACTGCGCGCGCGGCCTGCGGGCTCGGAACCTTCGTCGCGCTGTCCCCGATGCCCAGCCTCTTGAGGTCAGTGCGCCGCGCCGGCCTGCGAGCGCGTGCTGGCGCTCGCTGCGGTCTTGCCCGCGTCGTCCGGCCATGCGCTGGCCCGCGAGAGCAGAGCGCTTCGCCCTGCCGTGTCTGCATGCTCGTGGCTCTGATCGTACGCGCGGTCGAGCCACCGAGGGAAACGCGAGCCGTTGGGCACCGGCACGCGCGTGGCCTCATTGATCGGGGTCCCGTAGTCGTCCGCGAGCCCGAACATGCACTGGTGCAGCGTGACCATCTCATAGAGTGGGGGTCGATCGCCACCCTAGCGCAGTAGGTCCATGATCGGCTCCTCGGCCCACGCGCGGCTCGTGAGAGGGTTCTCGCCGATGCCGATGCGTCATTTTGCCGCCTGGGTCCGAAGCACCTCGACAGAGAAGTCGACCGACGGCCTAAACTCCTTGACCAGGTCGTCTACCCGGTCGCCCATGCCCTGTGTACGCTGCAACTCTTGTATGTTCGAAAAGGGTGTGCATGGGAGCGCGCCGAAACCATGCAGGGCTCGATGGTCTTTATCAGGAACAAGACATCAGACTGTGTCTGGGGGTCGTTGAAGTTAACCCCGACCGATAAATCTGAGGGGGTAGCGTTCGCATGACCACCCCTCGAGGCTACGCGAGTAAAGCGCGCCTCCTTCGCGAACAGCTCGCGCAGTAAGTCGAAAATGACCAAATACTCCTTCATCAGCTGGTCGATCCGTTTGAACGTGCTCTTCTTGAAGATGCCCTTGCTGCCGTTCTTCAGAGCCTCTGCGACCCGCGAGTCGGCGTGTTCCTTCGTCTGGAAGCCTGGCTCGAACTCCCGCAGCGTCTCCGCGACCAGGAACGCCTCCGGCTCGGGCTCCATACCGTCAACGCGAAACTTCTCGAACAGCGGCTCCGACACGTACGACTCGAGGTCGCAGTCGAACATGTCGAGGCTCGCGCGCCCGCCAGAAAGCTTCACTAGCTTCTCTTGACGTCCGCCCCGAGCTCCTGGAAGTCCGCCCCGAGTCCTGGAAAACGAACCTCTACGCGCGCGAGGCCGTCCTCGCGCGCGTAGAGGTTCGTTTTCCCCTCGGCCAGGTCCTCCTCGTCAGGTCGATTATGTCGCCGGGGATCCCGAAGTATTCCTGCAGCGCGTACTTCTTCCCGATGCAAACTCGGATGATCCACTTCTGCTTTGATTCGCGTCGTACTCCGCCGAGTCCCA